GCGCGCCAGCGCGCCTGCCTGCGGACTATGAAAGCAGCCATTGGCCGCATGCCGAAAAGGAGAATGCCGCGATCGGGGAGAAGTTCCGTTGCCCCGCTGCCCATCTCACCCTCTAACTATATTTTCACCGAATAAGGCTTCATCGCCCTTTGTGCAGTGCTATCTATAGAATGTGAACTTGGTGGTTATCGCCAACATAAACGAACTTTTCATAACATGGAAGTCTACGTCTACAGGAAGTGGGGTTGAGGACTGCGTGGCAGGGAGGCACACATGGGCACTCAAGTTCGCCGACAGACGTACTAAACTGATTAAAAACATATAATAGAAGTAGTCCATGGTCATTACTTCTGACCTTACCTTATTATAGATCAAATCAGAGATCCGATTACTCTCGGCTATCATTTTCAGCATCTTGATTCTGATTGGGGGTGCGATTGTTTTTATTACTTTGGCTCTGTTATTACTGCTGGTAGTGATTATCGTCAGAATCAGAAGGAGTAAGTCTTAACAGCGTTGGTCCCTTTCTTGAATCTCCTCCAAAAAGATTTGAGTTGAGCTTAACTTTTCAGAACGCGCGAAACAAAAGCCCAAAGAAGGACCCGTCGCGGTGTGTTTCTTACCATTCATTTCAGAATTGGACATTGCACAGTGGACACTATTTTTAAGTAGATTATCCATACAATTACTAGTCTCACTGAGCTCTTCCGATCAACCGCGAGTAGTACCTCTTTCATCAGAGACCGCGTTTTCAACCACCATCGCTACCATCGCTGAAGGATACCACTCTTGGACTTATTCATAAAAACAGCTCCACTGATGAAAAATTGGTAGTAGTACCAAGTTTGACCCAGCCCCCTCAACGAGAGGTTGCAAAAACATGCTGATCTGGAAATACCCTTTTTCTCTTGAAGAATAAGTCCAATCTCGGAAGCTTCCGTTGCACGGGAGTGATTCCTCTGAAGCCACAGCGCGGGATGTTATACATATTACACATTTCGGACGGATGATGGAAGATATGGTTCAGAGTAGTGCAAAATTGAAGAAGAAAACGCGAAAATCGGCGCATATAGAGAAATATAAAGCTCCGAAAGTGGCAAAATTAGGGATTGCGCGAGAACGTGACTACAAAAGTTTCATAGAAGGGTATTTGGACAAATTCAAGGCTGGCTACGTAAGCTGCCTGCTTACAACTGGTGCGTCACCGGTGCAATTGGTTCACACTACAGTCTCTACGACGCCGTGAAAACTCGTCCTCCCTTGGGTGTGTACTTCGGCTTGGTCGGCTTTGGGGTCCTTATTAGGCTCTATCTAGGTCACTTTTGTCCCGACAACGTCCTTTATGATATCCTAGGAGGTCACAGCTTCATCTTATTAAGAAATCTTCGGGACCAATTTTATCGTGGACTGTGCCTTCAAGATTGAACTGGGTGGCGGAACTTCTCCCCGAATTCCCATGACCTGCGACAGTGGTTCCCCGGCGACCCTCCGTATCCTTCCACTGGGAATTCGAATCTTCCCCTTCACAACGCGTGCGACGCGCGCGACACGCCCTTCGGGGAGATTATACCGGACTTGATTGATCTCAATCTTCTGAATCTTCCCATTCATCTTATGATCACATCTCAATCGATATTCAATTTTTAAGACGAAGCAACCACGTAAAATGGAAAGTGAAGATTTAAACAGAGTGAAATTCCAAACCGCGGGGCCATTGGTGATGAATCAAAAGCTGAGAGGTCCAGTGGTATGTTTTTATTTTGTACTACTACTAGTGCTACTACTTTTTACTAATGAGTTATCGAAATCCACAAAATAGGGGTACAGTGCGTGGGGAACGAAATGGTCGCGTCGCGGTGAGAGGGGCGTCGCGCGCGAAGGAATGTAGCAGGATGCAGCAGTAGGTAAGAAATACGAGAACAAAAGTCCTAATAGTAGAATTGTGCATAAAATAATGATCGCATATCGATTGAGCTGTATGAAGAACGCTAGAGCTGTAATAACGGCGAATGAGTATTCCGCGACAGCCGCGTGTGGCAAATCGATTACCCAAAATCGTTCCTAACGCCCGTCTTCCACAAAATAGCACCACCCACTCCCGAAACACCATCGTGGATGGTTCGCGCCTTTAGTTCAGAATACATCAAGCATGAACATGCGGCTAGTGGGCTTCTAAAGCGGCCCCATCCTCGCAAGGATTCCCAAATGACGAAATGAATCAATCACCTATTTGAGGCAGTGCTCGAGCTGTGACTTGACTAATTCGGCATTGATTCACTCGATCACAATACCGGAGAATTTTTCGTCTAATTGAATATTACATTTTCCCTAAAAATGCATATTCAGTGTGCTTCAACTGCGTTGATGCACGATGTGGAAAATTGTGAAATCAAACTTGAAATACGGTGTAACAGAAACCAACATCAACTCTTTTTCATTCCTTTTACGCTGGTTGCTAGTGATCCTACCATAAAAGTCTCGAAGTCTGAAAGACCGTAGAAGTTAAAGTCTTTGAAGTTGATCAATTTCTTCTGAGGGGTGCCACCTCCCCTCCCCCGCATTCGACTCCCACTCAAAATCGTACTGGCGTTTTGAATGTGTATTGAATGCGTACAATGAACTGCGGTGGCTAGCCGATATACATTGGAGGTACTTTTATGCTCCGGACGGATCTGGTGCCAATTAACCAACTCCGAAAGGCTCGGTTGGCTTAAGTGGATATCAATCAATCCGGGATTTGAACCTATTACAATGTTTTTGTGTTATCGCGCCACTTGCCGCAACCCCACCTCCGCCCTCCTACCATTTAAGCTGGATTATTTGCTTTTCTCATTTTACTCCTGACTCTTGTCAAGTATAATTAGTGCTAGCATACGTGCTTTTGTCTATTACAGGAACCTTGAATTTCAGAAACATGCTCTTGACGACGAACGTTCTACGGTACTGAAAGGTGTGGAATTTGATGCTGGTCAGAACGAAATAGTTGAAATCGGGTCAAACATAGAAGTGGTCGAGGTTTGTAATCAATGTTCTTTCATTACTTCTTACAATGAATAGAGAAGCTTCGAATTCGTCCCATAAGGGCAAATGACGCGATACTTAAAGGCACCGTTAGCAATAAATTTAAGGTACCCTTTTTTGACGGGAATTCATAGAACTACTCTAGAATAAAGCGATAACAACGAAAAAAAGTGCAAAAAACGATGATTAAAAAGAATTACAAAGGGTCAAAAAAGAGCTGGAAAAGGGGGGGGGGGGGGGNGGGTTGGACGAGTTTCACATTGGAAGAACTGGCAATTTGCCAACCAGCTTATCGACTTTTCACCAACTTCGCTCCATTGCGAATGTGGTGAAGGACAATTAGAACTCGTAGTCAGCCTAGCGAGGGGCGGAGGCCTCCCATCCCCCACTGTTCCTGCCCTTATTGTGCCCTATCCAGCCGTTTTCCGACCTCATTCCTGCACAAATGGTATCAGAGCGGGCTTCGAATTCAAACCATGTGCAAATCTCCGAAACCATTTTTTCGTGAACAGTGCCTTTAAGGAATGTTTGTGTAAGAAAAAAATAGAAGCCGAAATGAATCTACGGAAAACATAGGCATGGTCGCCTAGGCGTTCTTGAGCTCTGCTAACAGTAGTCAAGCCACTTGTAACTAACTGTTATTAAGTGTTTGGTCACAAACAATTGTCCTGATTTAGTCGAAAAAAAATGCTCCCATTGTAGTTGTCATTGTTAATATTATAACTTAAAATGGCGAAAAATTCGCCATTAGGCTACTGGTGTGTCTCTATTCTTCCAAGCCTTAACCCCTTAACCTTATGCGCAATTAATCTCAGCAAAGGTCAGCGGATCCTGTCACAAGCCCTCCAGTGACTTACTGAAGTTCTTTAATTATTTTCTTTTTCCAAATTTTCCTTTCAGGGTGATGGCGCTAGTATAGATCAGGGAACAGCAGAGCTTGAAAGTGTTATGAAGGTGCTCTCTTTTCCAGTAAAATCACTCGATTCATATATCTACAGTACTCTACTGTCTACTGTACTATTTAGCCGAATGCGGCGGGAACACCTGCACCTAGTCGGCCAAAAACTACACGTAAACCTGTAACGATGGCTTCAACACAACCTCGTCCCGCACCAGTTCGAAAACCGCCTAATCCAAGCAAAATACGACGGAACGAGGTGTGATGGTCTCTCTCCGCCACAGTGAAGTTTATTTTCTATCGTCTTCGTCTTTCTATCGATATACGAAACAATCCCGATTGAATTTACCTACATCAAATTCCCTGTTAATTGTACTCTCTCGATAGTTGTACCAAAGTTTTTGAATTGTACTGATTTTCCTACTACAGGTTGTGATCTGCAATAAATGATTCTTTAGCTTGAACGAAATATTCACGAAGGAATAGAGGTGTTGTTTAAACCTACGCTGCTATTTTAATCTCGAAATCTTTTAGGCAAGATGAGCTAAGTTCGCTCGAAGTCAGATAGGAATTACCGTAGTTTTATAACTTATGGTGGTGAAAATGTAATTGGGGAAGCCGCTTATTCAATACTGAAGCTAGAGCGCGAAGAAAGCCACTATGGAATCATGGAGTCTATCGCTCCTTTTTGGCGCTCTAGCGCTTGTTGGCTATTGTAAAAGAGCGGTATTCTTTACTACTACACTCGGGGTAGTAAATTAAATAGGGGATTTATTTATTTATTTATCTATTTATTTATTGGGCTATTGTTGAAGTGACATACAACAGTAAGGTTCGAAATAGCGTCAGAGTTACAATAGAATAAAATAATGTATCATATACTATTAATATGAAATAGAAAGGAAGGCGGAAAACGAAAAAAAAGAAATAAAGGTGGGGGGTTGAAAGGGGAGAGGAACAGTTGGGCCGCCAGAAAGAGGAAAGGCAGTGGCCGGCCAACACTGCAAGCCGCATGGATGGGTTGCGGCCCCGGATACCAGCTTAGTAAGCCCGCCAACCTCTTGGGGAGCCCAGATAATACAGACAGCTGCGGGTAAGGGGCTGGTTAGGGGAAAAAATATACAATAGCAATAATAATAATAAAAAGAGAACAAGAAAGAAATAGGCGAATCAACTACATTAAATAGAATTGTACAGCGCATAGAGTAGAAACTTCAAGAGAAAAAAAAAAACGCAAGAAATAAAGGAGTAGGAAAACCATCGTCAAGGGAGAGGGAAGTGATGAAGGAATGGCGGAAGAAAGCGGGAGAAAGAGGTCGAGTCATAAGGGTCACAAAGTCGCAAAGCCAAAAAGGGGAAAAACTCAAAAAGGTTGGAAGATCCATAAAATGCCGTAGGAACTGATTGAGGACGTAGAAGAATCTAATGCTGGCATAAGCTCTGCAACTATGGTATACTGCATTCTGATTGTGAGTGCGTGCGTAGAAGAAACCAACTTCCCTGTCCTGCTTCCACGGTTAAAGTTATTGCCTCTTCTGTCAGCAGGCGCTAGAAACAACCTTCCAATCTCACGTTATGGCAATCATCCATGCTGCGTCAGAGAAAAGCACTGAATACGCCTTCCTCTGTTATTCTTTCCTTTTTCTCTGTTATTCAATAACAGAGAAAAAGGAAAGAATAACAGAGAAATGGGAGAGAAACATCGCCTTATCATTCGGTGATCAGCTGATTGTGTGTTGGTTCCAGAACGAATAATTGCAGTCTGTATCGCCTCGACACCCGCCTGATGCGACATCGATCGAGGGGCGGGGAGTCCGGGCGATCTGGCAAAGGGCCCCCTTTATGCCCTAGCTGTTGAGCTTTGAGACTCGACAGCGTCCTTCCTTTTATCCTTGGGGCCACTGGGTATTCCCAAGAGGATCAGAAACCATTTTATCGTGAAGTGTGCCTTTGAAGAGTGATGTTTGGGTTTGAATACTAGGAGTTGCGTACGATCTTCCTATATCGTTTGATTTTGTTGGCACATCTGACTCTATTGAATACTTCTCAAAAGGGTCTGCTATTCATTGGGCTAGGTTACGAACGGAACCTTCGTATTAGTCAAGGAAGAGCGACGCTCCCTTGTCGTGGCTTCTCTTCTGACACGCATGGTGAAGAGAGATGAAAATTCATCATCAGCGAGACGACTTTTCATTCAAGTCTTCTTTGAGAAGCAGTAGGTCAAGTAGGAATTCGCTCGCTCGACCTTTGATCATTACGACAATCAATTAATGATGATTTGTCGACGAGGGCTTTGTTCTTCGTTGTTATTGTTACCATGTTACTCTTGTTTTATTTATCTCACAACTTTTTTTGGTGTTTTTATGTTATCACCCAATGATAACTATTCACGAAATCGTTCCTCTTGAAAGTTGTATGAAAATTTTCACGAAAGTTCTAAAAGCACAAATTTTTATTCACCTAGAAATTCTTCATTCAGAGGGAATCCGAATTGCCGTCACAGAACTCGGGCAAACGACATTCAGCTCGTATCAACGGACACGCTACAAACAAGAGCCTTCGATGCACCTTCGGAGTGGGACCGTTGACCTGGATTCGGTAGCAGCAAGGCTCGTAACAATTGATCTTTCAAAACGTGGTTTATTATGAATTTTGCTTGCTACATCGCGAAAAAAAAACTGTAAAGGCAATGTTTAGCGGGAACAAGATACTCTCTCACTAAGGGATGATGTTCTCGTCGTTTTCTTGAAGCTGCGAATAGCTCTCGATCTCCTTCGCTTCTGCCCTGGGCTGAGCCCTCTATTTTGCAAGAAGAACATGAACACTCGTGAAGCCTGATGAAGTCTTGCCGACCGGTACTTGGTCACGTCCATTGGAGCACCGCCTTTCCTTTGAGCGTTACGATCATTGCAGTTGCCTACCTATGCAAGCGGCCCTGACACCATTTCTACTGTCGTCTTATTGCTATGGTCCATTTCTCACTCGTGCACACCTCACCCTATACCCTGCCCCGATCATGTGACTTGTACGGTGCCGTCCAGGACTTCGAAGACTGAGAAGGCGGTACGCTTAAGATGGAAGCAAAAAAGGCTCCCGTTGAAAAGAGAGCCAGGTTCGTTGAGTAGCATTTGTTTTGGGGGATCGAAATGTGAACATTGCAGCCTGATTTGATAGAGAAATAAAATGTGGTCAATTCACAAGGACATAGCGCGCACTGAATTGAGGGTCACATTAAAGCCAAACGACTACCTGTCATCAAGCCGACCCAGAACAGTCCTCCAGAGCTCTGTGTCAAGGGGAATGAGTACATTCGTGCGTCCGGGGATGCGCGCGGCGAAATTTAGGGCGATTTTGACGGCTCTGGCGCCTATCATTAGGCTACAGGATTGAAGTAAAAAGATAGGATCAGCTGGTCCTACTTATCCCCTCTACTTAAACTTGGGCCTCAACGATAATCACTAATGTCGTTCAGGTTGCCACGAATTTCGCCGCGCAAATTGCCGCGCGCATCTTCGGACGCACGAATGTTCCGTCTCCTCTGCCTCAAGTCTCGCACTTGGCGATATATTCACTCAAAATTGAGAGTGGAAACGTCTTCAGGTTTTTCAACAACCATTTTGCAAAGTTGCTGCTACTGGTTTTACTCTTCCGAAAAGATATGGTTTACTTCTGATTGTAATGAAAGTTCTATTCACCTCGGACGATATTTTTCAGAATCGATCTACGCGATGCAAACCCCAAGTCGACTTCGGATAGTTTTCCATCATCTTCGTACTCCAGAGCGGTCAAGGTATGGTACTTATTCCATACAATTAGGTATGTCAGTCCAGCTGTCTGAGAATCCTGTTAGTGATAAAGGACGGGAGCTGATATGGTCGACATCCCAAGATGTTGACTACTGCTGTAACTCTGGAACGGGAATTCCTGCGGTTGTTCGACTTGACGATGAGTGCTTGACTTAAATAACAGCTTGGCCCTAAGGCATGTGTTTCACTGAAGGTGTTGAAAAGGAGCGCTGGCTACTTTATTGAACATCCACACCACTCCTGAGAGGCCTTTCACTGAAAAAAAAAACGAATATGGTGCTCTTCCTGGACAAGAAGATAGAGATTTTTTTAAGGGTTTGTATAGAGATTTGATGAAAGGTATTCTTGGACTGGACGGAGGTGGTGTAGTGGCAAATGATGCACGCATGGTCACGGATTCAGATCCTGGATCGATATCCGCCTAGTCCACCAAACATTCCACATCTCCAGCAACTGGTACCAGACTCATCTGGAAGAATAAAGCCACGATTTGTAGATTGGCTGGCCACCGCAAGGCTTTGTATAGGCCCCATATGCATTTATTACGCCACTACGATTCTGAATGAAAGTAAGGCGAATTCTACAGACGGGATTGACTAACGCCCGAAGAATTGACCCTTTGTTCTTTTATCATTGCACACAAAACTGCGTTCCTGCTGTTAGGTCTCTCCTAGAGATTATTGCGAAGGTTCCCTCGCAACGCGTTCCTCCTGCAGTTCCCATCTTTTGATTGATATTTATTGCCTTCATATCAACTCAATACAACACCCTCAGGTACACTCCATTTACTACTCCTATCCAGACCTTATACAAAGAGTAATCAATCAAAACATTTTTGATTTCCTACAATCTCACAGAGCCTTCTACTGTTACTTTCTACTACAATATATGAATCAATACAACAAAAAGGCACTTTATATAATCAGGCTAGAGCTAATTACAAGATTTATGTTAGTTTGAAGCTAGAGATCGTGAAAGTGAGCTTGACCCATATATTGAGGCCTTACGTAGCTCGTCAGTGTTACATTTTATGGTGTTTAAAACGAGAAGAAAATTTGCTAGAAATTATTCAAAAGACAATGAAAAATAAAATTCACGAGGTAAAGTCCAGAACATCACAGCTGAATATAATAATTCATGTTTATGGTAAGTCCGTGTCTGGGAGCCCGTTCTAAGAGACTTTAAATTGAAAATGTTGCGAACAAGCAGGAACAGTAGTGTAGTCACAACCCTATCGATAACAAGAGTAAGTGACAGAGAAGTCGGCTGAAAACTGAAATAAATAATGAACGCTGTTTTGATCCTTAGCAATGTGCTGTAGCCAATCTAAGAGGTTGCGGAACTTGTTCTGAGTACCTTCTGACCTGCCACAAACTTCTGTCAAGGAAGCGAATGAAGTGCTTGTGAAGATACCCTCTCTGCTCGTGCTCGTAAAAATACCCATTTCCTTTTGTATCGA